TTTTCCATGTAGTTTTTCAAAACATAAAACTAGTGGAAAAGCATCTGTCAAATGCCTACTCCAAAAGGTTATCTTCCCTTCACTTCCAAGTACTTCAGCCAATGTTTTGCTTCTGCAAACAGCAGGACAAAAGCAGAAACTTTCCTAGACACCTGAAACTTTTATTAAGTAATATACATATGCTCCAATTATAAACCATAATCCCCTTCATGATAGGTTCTTGTCACAAATCCCCAGTGATTTTTCTCCAGTACCCACCCATACACACAGGTATGCAGTGATATGCCTGAACTTTTAGCTAGTACAGCCTATTACTTCATAAATGTTTTAACAACGAAAGTACAAAGCCCAGTTTTACTTACTTCTATTTCAGGTCCACCAACCCAACGAACAGCAGGCAGCTCATTCTGGAGCAGCAAGTGATTTGCCTCATCATCAAAACCCCACTGGCAAATGGCAAGGTTTGCACCAGTGTCTTTTATCTAAAAGCAACAAAAATCATCAACCTTTTGATCAGAGCTAACAAAGGAATGAAAAATACTCTTCATGGTTTTTATTCTCCCTATTTTCTCAAAAGACAATTCTCAAGAAGAGCTCTCTGGTACACACAGAGATCAAAATATATTTTAAACCATGTTGGTATCTCTTTCTTACATTAAATTAACTTTGATTCATAGCATTAAAATTGCTTGTATGTTGCTTCCCACCAGGATTAGCAGCTCATTTAGAGGAACAAATCAATGCACTATGCTGGTTTTTTTTAATGGCTATTAAAAACAAAGAAAACAGAAATAATCCTGAAGGCTACCTGCTTCACCATCTCTTCAAACTTCTCTTTTTCGTATTTCTGCAGTGCCTTGTAATCATCCACAGATGTAACATCAAGCTTGTGTTTGGTTTTAGGCTTAGGTGGCTCAAATGGACAAGTAAGGATTGCAATTTTAGCATCTTTTAGCTCCTGGCAAGTAAAAAAAAAAAAAAAAAAAGATTTTTGACCTCATTAACATATCTTTCTTGTATTTGCAAAACACACAGATGTATCTTTATAAACACAAACATAGGAAAAGATGTGAAGATCATTTGACTTATTCTACAGTTAACTAAATAATTCTGTCAATAGTCTCAATAAACCTCTTACAGCAAATTCCATAGCTCCAAGACACTGTTTAAGCCCTTAACAATCTTTACCAGTCATGCCTTATAATGGTTCAATGTTTAAAAAACGAAAGAAAAAAATCACTTAAACCATCTCTATCCACTGTGACCACTGAGACTACTACTCATCTTTGTAACAACTTTTCAGCTATTACATAACTGATATTTTCTACCAGTCTTCCTTTTTACAGGATAAACACTGTCACCTGCTAGATAAATATTCTAAAACAGTAGTAGTACACTGCCCAAAGACTTGGAGACCTTACCTATGCCAAACATGAAACAAGGACAGCTTCTGTTAGGAGTGTTCCTAATAGGACAACATAGCAGCCCATAAGGTTAAGAATTTTGACACTGCATTGCACTAAGCATATTAAGCATATCACACACCAAGGACAATTGTTTCTACATAACACAGAACCCTGCACCAGGGTAGCAGTACAGTACATTAATTCCTCCCAGTACAGTAACTCCTCCCTTCCACCACAAGTTCTCAATATTGTTGGTTGTAAATTCTAATTCAGTCTCTTCCAATATAGAAAATTTCATGTTCCTTGCCTCTGTTGGTATATGGGTGAAAAGCCAAGCCAAACCACAAGACTGTATAAATATTTAATATATACTAGGGCAACATTTGAGGTAGGCTAGAAATTCTTATTTAAGCCATTACACACAAGAGACACACACACACAGGCATCACTTACTTTAGGCATCTGTGGATGACTGAAATCTTTATCCACAATCACTCCTTTAACCAACTGTGTATCTTCCAGTCTACCACCCACTTTGCCTTGCACTTTGATTAACTCAAAATCAACATCTTTACGTTCCATGTCTGCTACTGTCAGTACAGCATTCACAGCAATCTCTGCCATTTGCCTATGACAGCGGTTCACTCTAGGTTTGAAAAAAAATATAATCAAGTTGTACTCCATTTCCACAATTTGGAAGAAAAAGGTGATTCTATCCATCTTAAAAAGCAAGAAGTACCACTATAATAATCAACTTTTAGACACTATTAAAAGAGGTGGTCCTGCTTGTTTGTTCACAGAAATAGAAGGTGCTGGCTATGGCAGAAAACAGAACACACAATATGGTCAGTGTGAGGAACCTTTATCAAGGGAGTCTCAACACAGATTTTGAACAAGTCAGGAGAACTAAACTACTAAAGAACCTTCAAAAAACAGAAACCACTCATAAGACAATTCTCCAAAGGAAGCCCTTCCAATGTCTGAATTTATGAACTACACACAGAACCCATAAAGGAAACTGAACCATTCTAAGTTAAAACTTTTTTAGTGGAAAAAAACCCAAAAGATGATATGTTATTACTTTTAACAGATTTACATTACTTTTTGAACCTGTTATGATGCAGAAACCTGGAACTATCAGGTTAGAGTGAAATTGACGCTGCAGCTGTTCAATTTCATGGAATTGACCCTTTGGTGACAAAGGACTCACAATTTCTTATCCCAAGACAGGAGTCCACTGAGGAATTAGGCAAAACAAAACATAGAAGAGCCTTCAGCATCACTCCAATAACACAAACAATTTAAAAATCCACCAAAACACCAGGATTTCTCCTTTCCAGGCAGAGGGTTTTCAACGGAAGGGTAAATATTCATTCAATATTCAGTTTTTGTGACTTACACTTTAGAGCCCAGAGTTGTCTTTGCTGTCTGGATCAGAGGCTCAGTGTTCTGTGGATCAACTGGGAAGCTGTCACTGATTTTGTCTAGATGCTCAATGGCAATTCGTGCTGCCTGCTCATAACCATCTGCTATTCTGATGGGGTGAATGCCTCGATCTAGCAACTGCTCAGCCTGTTCCAGTAATGCCCCAGCCAGAACTATAAAAAAAAAAAATAAAAGTTTTACTCTTGATTGGAGCATAACTTTAAGTACATTATCAACAGATTAAAAGGACCACTTTTTGATTTTTCTGCAATATTTTAGAAATTCAAGGTTTCCTAAATAGCAAAAAAACCCCATGAAAAACCCCTACCTGCTTTGCTTAGCAAGAAAACCACATTATGTTAAGAACAAAATGAAATCCAGGGATCAAGGAAGAACAAAAGAGATTACAGAAGAAAATTATGCAGAAAACTTTTCAAAGTATCAAGGGGGCTCTCAGCACTACCTTAAAATGTAACCAAACTTCAAAAAGACACAAAAGACTTCTTCCTGATTAGAAGACTTCTAATACAAGAACTGACAGGAATACTGCAAAAATAAATACTCCAAAGAAGTGCTACAGAAAAGCTACTGTTATTTCTCACATTTTTTTTAATAGCTGAAGCAGCTTGATTTTAAACCTGAAAGAGGAAGCTAAATTTAAAATACTTTCTTACCAACGACTCCAGTAGTTCCATCCCCAATCTCATCATCTTGAGATTTAGCCAGCTCCACCATAAGCTTGGCTATCTGGTGATCCACATCCATCATATTCAGGATGGTAGCACCATCATTTGTCACAGTCACCTCACCATCCTTGTCCACCATCATTTTATCCAATCCTAAAAAACACGTGTTCAAAGGATGAAGGAAAATTTTGAAAATCCTCCCAACAATTACTAAGAGAGAACCACTAAAAGTTTTTCATTATTACCATTGGGCCCAAGGGATGTTCTCAGAGTACTTGCTACAGCTTTTGCTGCCATTATGTGAGACTGTAAAACAAAGGATAATAAAGACAGAAATTAAATCATCGTCATGCATTCTGAAATCACAATATTAAGCTAAGGAAAACACAGCGAGTGGTGCAAATGCTGTAATTTAACTAACAACAACTGTGATTGGAAAAGAATCAGTATGTGTGTATTGGTTTTATGATAGGAACACTTCCTGTGCCTTTTCTCATATTGCTTGCACTGGCTCTGCCTAAAGCAGGCAAAAGCAGAGCAGCCAAATGACAGCGCTAACGCTCAAAGCAGGGAGCAACAGAAGCCGGCAATACTAAAAAACGAGGCACTGGAATTTTGTCCATCATAGAATCATCGCAGGATGGTCTGGCTTGGAAGGGACCTTGAAGATCCTGCCCTGTCAAGGGCAGGAACACCTTCCACTAGACCGGATTGCTCAATGCCCCATTCGACCTCCCCCTGAACACCGCCAGGAATGGGGCATCCACAACCTCTCTGTTCCCGTGTCCACTCCTTTCCTCGTCGGGATTTGTACCACAGGCACTCAGCCCCGGCCTTCCTTCGGCGGCCGAGCTTCAGGCGGCGGTCTAAGGAGGGGAGGGCAGTAGTGGGGAGCTGGGCCGGAGCCACGGGGAGGGGCGCGCTGCAGCCACGGGGGTAACAGCCCCAAAGCCCCGCGGCTCCGGGGCGGATCCACGGCACGGAGACTCCACGTGCCGCGCATTCCCAGCCCCGGAGGGATGCCTTCTCTCTTCCTCCATACCTCCCCCGTTTACAAGCCTAGTCCGGACTCCATTCCCATTCCCATTCCCATTCCCCTCCCCCTCCCCCCGCAGCATTATGGTACGGCACGGCCCAGCATGGCGCAGAGCGGTCCAGCCAGAGCGGGCCTGCGGGCGGCCCCGGCGGCCACCCCGCTCGCTCACCTTGAGCGCCTCCAGCCCCATAAGGCGCGTCTTGCGCTCCTGATCCTTAAGGATGAGGAAGGGCCGTCCATATTCGTCAAACGCCAGAGTCCCCATAGCTGACATGGCTACACTGCCAGCTCCGACTACCGCCACCCCCGCGCACCGCCCGGAAGCCGCACACGCCCGGAAGCCGCGCCCACCACGACACCACACACGGCGCAGCGCCTGCGCAGCCGCCACAGCCACGCCTAATTTCGCGGGCGGGACCTTTGTAGCGCCCCCAGAAGAGCCTTCTGGAAGCCGCCCGGCGCTGGGGAAGGAATGCGGCGCTCGCGGCCGCACCCCCCGGCTCACGGGGGCGGGGCGGGAAGGAAGGAGAAAGTACTGGACGGAGCGGAGTACGGGCGCTGGGCGAGGTGGTAGCGTGCTGCGCCGGGTTACGTGAGGGCAGAGGAGGGAAGACAGACACTCGGTGGAAAAAGCGTGCTCGGTGCTTCTCACCGGAGCGCCTTCGGAAAGGTTTCGGTCCCCCACCCCTTCATAGTAAAGTGGTACTGCCCTTCCCTACAAATTTTGCAGGCTGAGCATAACTCTGGGTTGCGCGTTGGCGAGTTGGGGTGTGTGGTGGCGAATGTCCCTGTGTCCCAGGAAAAAGTTTGTCCGCAGAAGAGTAACGGTAACTCCTGGATGTGTCCCCATGGCGAAGTCACGGGGGGTCTGTGGCGGGGAGGTCCTTGCTTGCGCCGCTCTTGAACTGATTTGGGGCGCGCTGCTCCCCTCCCGCATGTGGAGGGCCAGGTGTTTAAATAGAAACCGTATTTCTGCCCCATCGTGCCTCAGCTTTTTAGCTGCTGTACCATTTCTCTGGGATCGGCTGAAGTGGTGGTATACGGTATTTTTTTTTAACTCTCTTACGTGCTTGCTCTTTGCTACAAGATACTGACTTGTTTCAAGTGACCGAAAACAGTCTCTGTCCGTCCCCGGGCGCGATGTCCCAGGCGCTAGCGAAAGAGGTCCCGCAGGAGGAGGGCGAGAGGGGCTCTCGGAGAAGCAGCTGGGGGCTGCTGGTCACGGCCGGTGTGGGAGGGACCTTGGTGGCCCTCTATGCTGTGGCCACCCCCTTCGTGACCCCGGCCCTGAGGAAGGTGTGCCTGCCCTTCGTTCCTGCAACCGCCTCTCAGATCCAGAATGTGCTGAAAATGTTGGAAAACAGAAATGGCTCCCTAGTTGACATTGGTAGCGGAGATGGCCGCGTTGTAAGTTGTGGATGTTGCCTTCTCTTTAGATCACCTCTTTAAAAAGTGCGAAAATGCTGGGGCTGCATTTTCTCACACTTAAAAATGTCTTGTCTTTGGCATCCGATGGTTGTGTCAGAGTCTTATGAAAAGGATCAAAGCTGAGAAAGTTTACATTCAAAGTTTTGATGAGTAATAAATAGTTTTTGCTGCAGTCTTACCTGTAGCTTGACCAAGGTAGTGGACAAAATGTCATTGTGATGACTGGAGGGAATCACAGTGCATTCACTTGAAAAGATGCAATCAGAATCTTGGTACTGATTGACAAATAGCTGTGATTCCACAAAGGTGTGTAGCTGCAGCAAGTGAGGCTGTGAGATTCTTAATGTATAAAGATGATAGAAGTGCAAAAAGAAACAGACAATGAGCGATGGATTATAAAAATAAAAATCCTGGTGTGGTTAGAACTGTAGTCTTCACATCTTTGTGCAATGCTGGCTTTGCTACTTCCAAATCCATGTGGTGAAACTAGAATAAGCACCAAGAGAAATGGTGAGAATCATGAAAGAAAAGGTGATACTGTGTTTCCAGAGTATTGCTTCAGCCCCAGTTTGTGAAATGTGATGAGGATATTGTGGAGAATGATGTGGTTTGATTTTTCTTTTGTTGCTGTGATGTTCTGTGTGCTTTTTCATAACTATCTGCTTCAAGTCAAATTTAGCAACAGGATGGTGGTTTTTGATGGAAACATGCAAGTTCTTGAATGCTGTCTTTGTCCATGTTTTATGTGAATGGGTCAACTATTTGTCCATGTAAAAAAAAATTGATTTGGAACCCCAAATCTGTGAAGATTGCTTGAATTGTACCTGCATAGGAAAAAGACCAAAAAACTTAGGCATGAGAGAACTGCAGTGTCTGATGCTCTCTCTGTTCATCATTATGGCTGCTGACTCTCATCCGAGCTATCTAATTTTAATAGGTGCTGTGTCATTATTTTGTATATTATATAGGTACCTAAATGGAGACTGAAGATTATTTGGAAATCTAGGTGCCTAAAATTGAGCACTTGGTGTTTCCTTGATGCATCTGTCCTGAAAAAAGTCAGTTCAGATGCTTTTAATTATTTAGCAATTACTCGGGTATAATCGGTGGATAAATATGAAGATACTTACATTTCCAAGTGTGGTAAAAATGTCATATTCTTTTGGTGAATTTGCAAGTGCTCTGTATGTGATGGAAGATGCATTATTTTAACAGTGTAAAATATACAGTTTAGGTAAGGCGGTTTGAGAAGTTCTGTTAAGAAATGTGTACTTCCTGATTTTACCTAGCTTGTTTTGTAATTAATAGTTCATCAGGCAATTCCTGATTAGAAGTTGGCAGTAACTGTTTAAATTATGTTTTAAACCTTTATTCTAGAAATCAATGCATTTTTAATTTTTTAAAATGTAGATCAACAGATTACTTTCAGACTCTTTCTATTGGTATGTTATTTTGTCTCTGATTCAGGGGCTGCTCAAGTGCCTATCCCTCACTGCTTTTCAAATAAGTGGTCTAATTTTGAGTGTTTTTGCTTGCAAGTTTCACTGTTCTCTCAGGGATCAATGTTGGTACTCTAATTCTAAGACAGTGTCATTAATGTGTTAAATTCAACTTTTATGTAAATCATAGATGTACTGCAGTCCCACAGCTTTGCCCTGTTTTAATTTTGTTTGTTTTAATTTTGTTTGCCTGACTATATTTCAGTTGGACTAGTAATAATAGTAAAATGTAGTTTTGAGTTTTTGTTCACTATGTAGTAATCTGTTGGGCATTAAAACCAAGATGACTTAGAAAAGTGCTCTTTGATTTATATTTTAAATAAAACTGTGTGCTCCTGTTTAGGTGAATAGACATATATGTTTCTAAGTGAAGATTTATTTTCTTTCTCGTAGGTGATAGCAGCTGCAAAAAAGGGATTCCAGGCTGTCGGTTATGAATTGAATCCCTGGCTAGTCTGGTACTCCAGATATCGTGCCTGGAGAGATGGGGTACATCAGAACACCAAATTTTATATTTCAGATTTATGGAAGGTAGGTAGTGAATGATATAAGAATGAATCTGGGATGATTGAGAGATTTTATAAGTTTGGAAATACTTTCCTGAAGGAGCTGAAATGCTGTCTGACCACAAGATGCTATATTGGCTTTGAGCAAAATACCTGTGCTGGGAATCTGGTGTATGCTGTTCTGCTGCTTTTGTGCTTTATTCAAGTGCTTCCTTTATAAGTAAAGGCTCCTTGAGCAAGCCTGGGCCTGATGAATTATGTGTGAGGGTTTTTTTTGCCTGTAGGGGTGTACGTGTTCAGAGAGGAGCATAGGAGAACTTCATGGCACTGAACAGAAGAACTCAGTCATAAGAATGCCTAGAAAGTTTTTATAGCTAGCTAACATTTAACAAAAGAAGGGGCAAATCTAAAGCATACGTTATTTTATCATATACAGGAGTTGTGAAAATAACCCTTTAGTTATTAGTAAAGTCACACAGGTATTTTCTAAATTAATGCTTTCTGTACTTCTATAATTGCTATTCCATATTCTTGGCCAGACAGTAGAAGTTTGTTGCTGTTCAACAGTATGAAGTTTTCTTTATGTGGAAATTCTTGTGATGAAAAGTTGGTAAGGGATCTCCTTACATATTTTTGGTTTAAATCCCTGTTGAAAGAACTGCAGCTAGAGGGATTAGGAGAAAAGAATGGTGAGAGTTTCTCTAACTATAAATGCCATTTTCAATAAGATTTATGCTCAAATTTTATTTCAGGTTTCTTTTTCCCATTATAGAAATGTTGTTGTTTTTGGAGTACCTCAAATGGTAAGCTTACTTTTTACTTTTATTATATTGTTGTGGTTTATTCATTATACTGTTTAATTATTTGTTACAAAATTTAATTATTTTAATGCCAAGGCACACAGCATTAATACATTAATCTGCAAAATGAATCAACCTGCAGGTGGTCAAAGGTATAATAATCATAGAATCATAAAATATTAGGAGTTGGAAGGGACCTTAAACATTATCAAGTCCCAACCCCCCTGTGCATGGGATACCTCACACTAGACCAGGTTGCTCAAGGCCTTATCCAAACTGGCTTTGAACGCTGCCCAGAGCCTCCCTGGGCAACCTGTCCCAGTGTCTCACCACCCTCACAGTAAAGAATTTCTTCCTAATGTTTAGCCTAAATTTCCCCTTACAATTTTTATCAATTCTCCCTTGTCCTATCTCTTCAATTCTTGATGAAGAGACCCTCTCCAGTTTTCCTGTAGGCTCCCTTCTGATATTGGAAGGTTGCTATGAGGTCTCCATGCAACCTCTAGTTCCAACTCCCCTGCTGTGAGAAGGGACACTTCTGACTAGATCAGGCTCCTCAGAGCTCCATCCAACCTGGTTTGAGCAATTCCATGGCTGGGGCATCTACAACTTCTCCGAGCAACCTGTTTGATTGCCTCACCCACCCTCATGTGAAGAATTTCTTCCTAATACTCAATCTAAACCTACTCTCAGTTCAAACTTTCAGTTTGAAGGCCTTCCCCCTTATACTGTTGCTACATGTGCTTGTAGAAGGACCATCTCCATCTTGTAGGCTCCCTTCAGGTACTGGGAGGCTGCAGTTAGATCCTCCTGAAGCCTTCTGTTTTCCAGGCTGAACAAACCAATTCTGTCATCCTGTGCTTCTGGATTGCTTGTTCCTTTACTGAGGTGAGATGAAGTGAGTGAAGAGCTTTATGTGATGCCATACTATACAGCATACACTAGAAACATTTCTGCAGCAGTAACAGGAAGCATAATAAACCTTCCTATTCTGTGCTTTTTTGTTTGCTTGTTTGTTTTTTCAATGGCACCAGAAGTAAATCTCTACTTCAGATTTCAATTATAACTCATATTGGAAACTAAAGTAGTTATGGGTGGGATATTAGTGAGCACCATGATTTTCCTCATGTTGCCAGCCCTGGGTGTTATGTGCTCCCTTGCCTGAGTTCCGGCAGGGAGCATTGGAAATGTTTGGATTTTTCAGTCAGGAATTCTGCCATTGCACCAAGGGGAAAAGTGCTGGTGAGGAAAGCTAGCTCAGTAAACTAGGAATAAACAAATGCCCTGGGAAAATGTGAGTAAACCCAGCAGAAATACTGAGTTAACTTTTAAATGTAATAAAGCGGGATACATTAGTAATAGCTGTGATAGAAAGGGTAGGTATAGGGCTCAGAATAACTTTTGTAGATCCAGTAAATAGTAGGTTAAATTCCTTTCAGCAAAAGTCCTGCCATAAATGCAACAGATGCAAACATATGAACCTCAGGGAGCATTTGTTTGCCCTTTAAATTTACTTTGGAAGTTGTTAATGCTCAGCCTCCTGAATCACTAAATTAATTTTCTAGAAACCTTAATGCATTTCTTTTTTACTGAGGAACAGTAGATCACTTTAGCTTTTTTAGTAGTGCTGGTCTGATTTGATGCTTTTGCACAGTGCTTTTATTTCATATCCAAGATTAGCTTTAAAAACCTGAATTCACTGATCTTCAGGGAAGACTAAGACCTGTCTTGTTCTTGCAAACATCTGGGGTGAAGATGTGTTTGTTTCAAAGTTATTGCAGACAGATACTTAACTTGTTCAGGGTAGGATGATGGAATTCTTGCCAGGTGATCATGTTTGCAGCTCCTGTTTATTTTAACTGATTATATACTGTACAAAAGGTTTACAAAACTATATATCTATGTTGACACACCAAAAAATTCCACTAAACCCTGGCTTCACATAAAATACAGTATGATTGTAACACCTAATGTAACTGATATATTTAGCTTAAAATCTAGTTTGACTGGTTCAAGGATATTATTATTTTTGGCTAAACTTGGCTGAACTATTAATGATGTTTTCTGATTTGTGCCAATATGGACATGCAGTGTCACTAATTTTCATAATTACTCCTAAAAATTAGTCCATGTCTATATATTTTCTGTAACAAAAGTTTTTCTGGTGTTTCAACTCAGTTTTAAATAACAAAGTGGGTTTATTTTTCCAGTTTGTTTAAGATGCTAGTAGGCTTATTTTTCTAGGTGTTTAAGGCAGCAATAATGTTTAAAAGCATTTGCAGTGTGGATGAAATCAGAGCCTTAAAAATACTTGGAGGTAACTCCTTGGTACATTTGATCTATGGCTGTAATTTTCTTAAGATACTGCGTTGTTAGCTTAAACGTAGCTATAATAGGATATTACATCAAAGGCACACCCTGCATGTACGTGATAGTGGAAGCTCTTTGAAGCCTTTGGAAATACCTTTTCTTTAGTCAATCTTATTTTCTAATAATATTCTTTTGGGTTTTGGTTTTTTTATCTTTTTTGTGAAATTTTATGTATTTTTGTCTCTGATTTAAATTCAGCTATATTTGTAAATAACTATTGCCCTTTAAGTTTTTTTAATTTTTTTTAACCATTACATCATGATAACCAAAGTAAATAGTATTTTACATGTTACAGAAGTAGCCTGTAGAGTTTGCCCTTAAAATTACTCATTCGGATAGATACAATATGTAAGAATAAAAGGACCTCCAAATGGATATGGACTGCTGATGTGCTTAAATACACCATCAACCTTTTCCAAAGGACAAAAGTGGCTAAATCTGTTAGGTTTCTTTTTTTTTTTTCCTAGAACATAATCACTATCTGGGATGGAAAATAAATTTAAGTCTGCATGTGTTAGTTCATTTCTCACTTAATCCACGGCACAATTTGCAAAGCACTTACTAGAAAAAGAGCATCTGACTGGTCAGGGTGTTGCTCTGTTCTAGAAAACTAGTGATGCTTCCCCTGACTTTCATATCCTCTCAGTTTCTGTGAACAGAGGAAAGCTGGGCTGCAGATGTTCAGCCAAAGAGAGTTGCTTAGTGGTATGTGAGATGGTTCCCCTCAGAAGTCTGCTCTCTAAACTGGGGAGAGATGGATTTGGTGGATGGGCTGTTCAGTGGATAAGGAATTTTCTGGATAACTCCACTCAGAGTGTAATGGTCAATGTTTCAATGTCCAGATGAAGATCAAGTACAATTGGTGTCCTTTAGGGGTCTGTATTAGGAGCAGTCCTGCTTAATATCTTCATCAATGGTATAAAACAGTGGGACTGAGTGCACTCTAAGAAGAGTTTGCAGATGACACCAAGTTGAGTGGTGCAGTTGACATGCCTGAAGGACAGGATGCTATCCAGAGGGGAGCTGGACAAGAAATGGGCCCATGGGAATATTATGAGGTTCAACAAGACCAAATGCAAGGTGCTGCACCTGGGTCAGGGTAATCCCAAGTACCAGGCTGGGGGATGAACAGATCTAAAGCAGCCCTGACCAGAAGGGCTTGGGGTGCTGGGGGATGAGAGACTGGACATGACCCAGCCATGTGCACACACAGCCCAAAAAACCAAACATGTCCTGGGCTGCATCCAAAGCAGCGTGGCCAGCAAGGGAGGGAGGGAATTCTGCCCTACTGGTGGGATCCTATTTGGAGTGCTGCATCCATCTCTGGGCACCCCAGCACAAGATAGATGTAGATCTGTTGGACTGGGTTCAGAGGAGTCCCTTTCCTATGAAGACAGGCTGAGAGAATTTGGGTTATTCAGCCTGGAGAAGCCTTGACACTGGGGAGACTTTATTGTGGCCTTTTTAGTAGGGTGTGTAGGGACAGGACAAGGAGTAATAGTTTTAAACTAAATGAGGGCAGATTCATATTAAATATAAGTAAGAAAAAATTTATGAATGGGATGGAACACTGGAATGGGTTGCCCAGAGAGGCAGTAGATGGGGACTGGATGGGGCTCTGAGCAACCTGATCTAGTTGAAGATGTCCCAGCCTATGGCAGGGGTGTTCAGCTAGATTACCTTTAAAAGTCCCTTACAATCCAAACCATTTCATGATTCTACATTCTGTTTCATGGAATGCTGCTGAAGGGATTCACATGCATATATGTTAATATATAATTTTATATTGACTTATTTGAGCTCAGTTTCAATATTAATTAACATAACAGTGTTTTACCATAGAGTGACAGCAGAATGTTTGCTTTGGGTTGTTTTCTGTGTGATGTTTTGAGTGTCCCAGGATCAATCTTGGGGTTAGACTGTAAATTTTGAGCAGTGATGGCCTTTGGGTATCACACAAGCTCATGAACCTTGGGGTATCATAATTAGCATAAATTCCAGGGGCTGAACTTTGATTCCCTCAGAGGAGAATCCCACTGAAGAGAATTGTGAATTGGAAATACAAAGTCTTTTCCCTGCAGTTTTAATTGGTTTGTTTTTGTGTTTGTTTTGTTGTTGTGTTTTTTTTAATTTAAGGGATAATTTTTAGGTTTTGATTTAATTTTTGGATCTTAAAGTTATGATTCCCTTGATCTCACCAATTGGGGCACAATAACCATTTTCTGATTTTAGATATTCTTTGTCAAGGCATCAAAGCCAAAATACGTGTCATGGTTACTTTCCTAAGATTTTTCAAAAGAAATTGCTGAAATCTTGGATTTCTCTTGAACACCTGAATTAGATTCTAGAGAGAATGCTCCTGTTTGTTACTGTTTCTGAGAGGTTCTTCTTGTAACTCAACAGATGCCACAGCTGGAGAAGAAGCTGGAAGAAGAACTTGAATGCCATGCCAGAGTCATTGCCTGTCGCTTCCCTTTCCCTTGCTGGATTCCGGATCATACTGCTGGAGAGGGAATAGACACTGTGTGGGCCTATGATTTGAAACATTCTAGAAGATATGAAACAAAAAGCTTGGAAATTACACCAGAGACAGAATCTTAAACATCTAATTTGGTTTCTTACAGAAATTTTTGTCTTTGACTGGACCTGTTGAAGATAAGATTAATGTGGAGAGAGTCCTGGCATATGAAGATGTGTATTCACTATAAAAACTGAAGTACAGTGGTTGTCTGAAAGCACACAAAGGTTACTGAAAAGGTGTAGTTAAATGACTTAATACAGTGTCCTGGTTTAACCCCATCTAGCAGTGAAGTACCACACAGATGTTCACTCACCCATACTCCCCCAGTAGCATGGGAAAGAAAACTGAAAAAAAAGGTCATACCCATGACCATGGATTGAGATAGGAATAATTTAATAATTGAAATAAATTTACTACTAATAATAACAACAAGAGAGGAGTAAAACCCAAGAAAGCTGAGTGATGCACTGTACCCTTGCTCACCACCCACTGATGGATGCCCACTCCATCCCATAGCAGCAACTGGTCCCTCCTTGTCAACTCTCCAATTTATATACTGGACATGATGTTCTATGGTGTGGAATGTCCCTTTGGCCACTTGAGCTCAGCTGTCCTGGCCATGCTTCCTCCTGGCATCTTGCATACCTCCTTGTTGGCAGAGCATGAGAAATTGAAAAGGCTTGGATTAAGTACTGTTCAGCATCAAGTAAAACCATCAGTGTGTTATCAGCTTTAGTCTGTTCTAAATCCAAAGCACAGTGCTGTACCAGCTATCAAGAAGAAAATTAACTCCCAGCTGAAAGCAGAATATGTAGTTAGTCAAAATTACAAAAGTTTTTTATAGAAGTGGAAAACTTCAATATGAAAAAGCAAATTAGGCTGGTCTGTTGTGATAGATTGGCATTTAAGAAAACAAAGAGAAACACCTTAGGAAGTTAAAACTGCTGGCCAACACCTGGCCATTTCTAAGAATTGACAGCAGTTTTAACCATTGAAAAGTGAGATCAACCTGTGAACACCACCTTAAGACCTAAGCCTGGGAATTTCTTTGTCTCTTTGTTCCCTGGCTGTGAAAGGTAACTGAGCTTTAGCTGGCTTCCCGTCCCCTGCCCAGGCCATGCAGCCCGGGCGGGGGCTGGGCTGGGCCTGCCACGGCTCCCAGCCGGGAGATGGGGCCTGCGGGGCTTGCCCTGGGCTCTGGCCGGGCCAGGCCGGTCCCTGGCTCGGCTGCAGTTTTTGCTGTGACTGAATTCACCAGAGACTGCTGAGTAAAGAAAGAAAAAAGCTCTTGACCTGCGGCGGGCTGAGACAGTGACCACACTCTCCAGAGCAGCCATGAAGAATCTTCCATCACAGACAACTCCAGCTGCTACTCCGGCAGAGATCAGAGAACCATCTACAAAACCTGGGCAAGATTTTAACCTTTTCATTACCTAGATGAGACTTGCAGATTAATCCTTTTTTCCAGAGAAAGAAAAAGAGAGTAATCAACATGTAAAGAGACTTTATAAACTATCAGAGACAGTGAAGAAAATAATTAAGCTTCAGAAGAGGTAGAGAATAAGGAGATGCTTTAATTAAGCTGAAATATTTTTCTGTTAAAGCTATGGAGATGGACAATAGTGTGGTAAATAGAGACCCTTTAGTTCGCCTAAACATGCAAGATACGATGCTTTGCAAAACTATGCTTTGTGTAATAGAGATGAGGTTGAAGGCTGCTGCTGACGTCTGTATAATTATGAGAACAGCCTTGCAAGCTCTCTTGAATTCCAGAAAGTTAAGCCACTCAGATAAGCCTTAAAAGGAGAACAGTGAGGAAAGGTCAAAAGAGGAAGACTCCTGATCTTCATCCTACGACCACCAGAAGGCAAAAAGCGACCACCAGTGACCGGAGGCACATGCACAGAGACACCCGAGAAAGGACACGTAACCCGGAAGTCAGACCACTTAAAAAGGAAGACACGGAAATCGGACGTGCGGCAGCCGAAGGAGTAGAGACTCCCCTGCCGCCCAGCGCTGATTTTTGCTTATTGCTTGCTTGCTGTAATTAATAAAATTTTTACACCATATCACTCTCTTGTGTGCGTTCATAACAAATAGTGTTCTGAAAAAACTCCTTTAGTTCATGACAGAGTATATGGGGAGGAATGGAGTGTTCAAAGTTTGGATTTTGAGCAAAAGGTGGAATAATTTTGATACAGTGAAGTGCTGGAACAGAAGGGGAGAAGTAATAGTTGAAGATTTGGGGCCTTGAGAGGCAATGAGAAAACTTCTGTTTTCCAGGGAAGCTCACAGAGACAGATGAAGAGAACTTTTGCCTTTGAATAACTCATCCTTAAAAATGACATCCCTAGACTCATGACCCATAACACACCTCAGAGTGATGTGAAATGGGAGGAGAAAATCTGATGACAGATTTCTGGGCAGCTGGCATCAGAAAAATAGAAAGCTATAACAAATAGTTTTCTTGTGAGAAACTCCATAGATTAGCAGAAGAAGACTTCTGTTTCTCTACAAAGACTGATGAAAATATTCTAACAGGAATTGGGGACTGTTTAAACACCAAAGTTCCAAAGTTTTTTGTCTCTATGTTGTCATGTAAACAAAAGAATGGTTGGGTAGTGGGAGAAAAAAGGGTTTTCTGGAAGTTTTATTCTAGTGTTCTTATTCTTGTAGTTTTGTTAATAAACTTTCTTTATTCCTTTTAAGTTTTAAGCCTGTTTTACTCTTGTTCTAATCCACATCTCACAGCAAGAAATAAGAAAGTTTTCTAGTTTTTTTTAGTTATTGCTTTAAAACCACAACATCTGTAGAATCTGGCTTGAAGAAAAGTTGGGTGCTATTTGGGATGTGTAGTTTACAATGATGCATCTACCCATGCTTTTTGGTTTTTGATGTGAGGGGACAGGAAGAGGAAGAAGTTAATACATAAACCTACAATGAAGATTTGAAATGGAGCATGGTTTTGTCCTGAAAATGTACACAAAGCAGGACAAGAAAGGGGAAAATGGGTGTGTAGTGCACAAAGGAGAGGTGATTTCAGCCTTGCATAGAAAGGCACAACTGTGAACATGGAGACTGTGTACTGAAGAACACCAGTGTCTGGTAAACTGTCTGACAGTCTTTTGCTGCAAGAATGCATGAAGTATCTTGTAAAACTGCACTAAATTCTTTCTATAATGATTTAAGTGTTATGATTGTTACACAGAGATAGAGTGACAGGACAGGGATAGAGTGGCTTATCTAAAATGCCTGAATTTAATATCCCAGGGCCATAAAACTAGAACCTCAGACAAAGTAAATCTGAAATTATTTCTGATGAAGACACTAACAAAGGAGAAATTAGCTAATTAAGCAAAGTTCTTCCCTGAATGATCATAAAGGAAAAGAGGAGGGAAAAGTATTTTGATCTGTTGAATTGTGTTGTCATCTGCAGTGCAGTGCTCTGACCCAGGTTTCTACAATCTGTATTCATTAAATTTAGCTTGTAGGGAATGAAGCAATTATATACTTCTCTCCTGTATTTGACTATATATTTTTCTATTGCATTAACATTTAGCCTGTTAAAAAGGAAAACTGTATTTCACATTTTTGTCTGTGGTAAAGGTTTTGGGATGTGCTCTTCCTAGTTGCTACCTATTGCTCCAGGAGTACTTCTTGAGGAGGACACAGTAGAATTAATGATTTGATGACCTGAGCTTTAGGACTACTAAAGTACTGCTGTCCTCCAGGCAAAGAGAGATTTATGATTATTTTAAAGTAAAGCAGAGAGCTGTTTCTTGCTCTGACTATTTACTTTTGGGGGCCTACACTGAATTAGGCAGTAGTCTGAAGGTTTGGGATTCCTTATGATATAAGGAAATGTGCTGTATTTCCTGTTTCCATGGCTTAAGTGTGAAATGGAAAGAAAAATGTCCTAATTTACACAGGAGGACTGGGAAATAATTTTGTTGACATATTGTCCTTTTCTATCATTTACTATTGTCCTGGGGTGACTTTATGATACTGGTATCCCCAGTCGTCTGGTTTATGTTATATATTAAGTTCTGCACCTTTAAGGCTGGCTTTGAGAGCAAGAGCCGGGGGAAGAAGAAGCGCGCAGTTTGTGTTAAAGAAAAACATCACTCCCACACATCCCGCTCCTGGACTGTGGTGTCTGCAGCACGGACAGACAGCGGGACAGAGCTTCTCTCTGGCTTTTTAGTTAGCTTTAGCTAGCTGAGGCAGAGGAGTTCCCTGGACCTTTGTTTTTTTTTCCTTTTCTTGGATCTGTGCAAGCCTGCTCTGGACTGAACACCCAGCCAGATCCCAGGAGCTCACGCCTGTGGCCCCCCGGGGCCTGGGCCTTGGCACTTTTCCAGCGCTGAAAGGACTGATAAGAACCTGAGCGAGCCGAGCTACACCACATGAAAAGGACTTTTCTTCCTAGACTTGCCATCCCATCAAACAGTGAGAGGTTTTATTATTTAATATTATTCAATTTCTGTTAAATAAACAGCTTTTTCCATTTCTCGCCAAGGAATTTTTTTTTTTTCCTTTCCCGGACCAGTTGGTGGGGAGGGGGCATTTCCCTGGGGAAATCCCCATTTGGAGTTTTCCTCCCTAATTTGCCCTAAACTAGGACAACTGTGTTCATTTGATGGTTTTCAAGATTCAGTACTTTACTGCGACTAGTTATCACTGTCTGGATTATATTGATACACTTCTTGTGGGGGCCGGAACCCGTTGGCTCCAGGATCCTGGCTCTCCCCTGGAGGCAAGACACCTTTCACTCAGAGAGAGACAAAGTATCACTCCCAGTGATCTTTGAGTTAGCTATGTTAAACTGTTGCACTCCATTGGTGTTCCCCCCTGCCGTCCCACCCCGATACAGGTATTCCGGTCTCCCCCCGCCCCTCTCCTCCTCCATAAATATTCTGGGTTTTCCCCTGTTCGAGAGATTAGCTGTTGCTGGCTCCCTTCGCCAAAGCTCTGCCTGAATAAAGGTTTGTGCTTAGCGGAACGCTGGACCAGCTTTCTCGTCCCTTCTTCCCGTACCGCCTGCCCGCCACCGCTGAGCCGAGCCGAGCTGGAATCACTCGCCTGCCCGAAGCTGCATACATGCGCTTCGGCCCAGCCCTTTTCAGGGCTGCTTCTCTAGAGAAGTCGCGGCGCTCCGGCCTTTCTGTCGCCGCAGCAACTTCGAATTGCTATAGTAATGTATTATGATTTTGTTGATATGATACTTCAAAACAAAAAATGGGTTCTTCTGAAAACCAGGAAAGAGAATTACCATAATCATATTATAATGTAGTTCTGAAGCCAAAAGGAGGAAACAAGCTACACATGCTGTTCAACACTAAAGTAATTTAGGTACACAGAAAAACCTATATTTTATCTTTGTATCTTCTAGTAGAATCATTTGCCTTTTGGGAGTTGTGTTATTTTTTACTTGCCCTGCCAGATTTTAGCAAAAAAAGGTGTTACATTGCTGAATGACTAATGCTTTCCTGAAATACTGTAGAATTTAATTTGTTTATAAGTAGTAAAAGGTCAGGGTCATAATTAAAAATGTTTTCTTTGTTCTTTCCCCCCTCCTTTTTTTTTTGTAGTGATGTTAGCATTCAGGAACTCATAACCATGGAATGATTATATGAAGGTACTTTGTTAAAGAGCTCTGGGTGTCAGAGGTGCACATACCCAAATCTGACCCAACTTGGTTTTGAACATGTTTTTATACTCTATTGTTATATAACTCATATATTAATTATTAAACTTACATAGTTCTATTGTTTGCACTGATTTTACCCAAGTATCTCGGTTTTGGGAGACAGGTGTCTGCTAGGGAGGGCAGAAGCCTCCTTTGGAATGAAAAATGTAGACCTCCTCCCTCCGAATTATGGTAATCCTGAAATTAAGGGGCTTTCAGGCATTTCCCCAGAGATCTGGGGAAAGGA